CAAACAATAATGTACAAACAGGTTCAAAGTGACAGGCTGTCTGCACCACGTTCATCCTGCATGTACAAAACCTGACGCAAAAAGACACCGTCTGCACCGAAACTAAAGGATCAGCAACAAGATGAGGTCCGATTCTGGGTGGTGCATCCCAGAGTACGACTAACCCGTTTTTGTTTATATCAGCTCTGGTTTAGAGGACAAAGACAGACTGCCGTTGAATAAAGTCAATCTTTAAAATTAAAATGATCAATTTGAAACCATCCTCCTTATTCGAGCTTAAACATTTTCAGATTTATCAAAACCATAGTTCGAAAGTCCCGCAAATTTAGAATTTTCCATTCAATCATTAGCAAAGAATTTGGACAAAGTTTTCACATTTTTTAAAGAAATCTTTAGTTTTAAATTTTAATTGCTTAAACATTAAATTTTCAGCTTTAGTTATACAACATCTGAGCAAACTCCATTTGGTCGTGAAGACCATGTGACATGGTCAAAAGCTCAAACAAACTAGTAAGTGCACCTTGAGCCAAGGTTCACTTGTTGAACTCAAGAATGAAGGCACACGCTCAACATATTAGTTTCAATCGTACACTGGAGCCATTTTTACAACAGCGAGTTCTTTTGGAAAGCGATGAGAATATAATCTAGCTTGACATATACCACACATTTATACCTAGTTGCAGTCTGTCAAAGAATAATAATACGTTTTAAAGCCAGAAGGTCAAAGGTGCCAGTTGTGCTAGCTGTCATTGCTCCCAACAAACTGACACACTATCGTAATGCTGTACATTCTGTCTGAATTTTATATTTTGTTGCTGATCCCATAAAAATATCTGGTTACTGACTTTCACCGTACACGAGAGCAATGAAATATTTTACGTCACATCCTAAACAGATTCAGTTTGTACATGCAGGATCACGGTGGGTTGCTTTTATTTGCCATAAAAAAAGAAGAACCTCTACAATACAATGACCATATTCATCAGTAAGAAAAGTACTGTCGGTACACTCTTCATGCAGATGTAACAACGCATGTAAACACGCAATATCCATACTTCTGTTTTATTGCACTGTCTTGTTGTGTACTTGCATTACTTTTCTGTAGGTTAATACTCAAGTCACTGGATTTAGGCCATTTTATGGTAAAGTTCAACCAAAATAACCATTTACCTCATCAGGTCCCACAGATATACAATCCCTGCCCTCTGCATGCAAACAGAAGAGACGACCAGAGCCCATCAGATCAGAGCTGCAGAGAGATTTCATAGTTCGCATATTTGGCCTGATACACAAGGAGGGAAAATACCAGCAGCTGTCATTTCACGGTGATGTTCTACCTAACTAGACACCAGACAGGCTGGTAAACTAGCCCAAGTGGCAAAGGTTTACCAGAGTCGCCGTCGTCTTGTTTTGCTTTTAGACGTGCTCAAACAAGACTATGGACTAGTTTAGTCAACACATATGGAACCTTTATGGATCATTATTAAATAAATGCAAAACATCACCAAAAGGCGAAGACTGTGAAACTCCCTCAGCAATCTGATCTGTCTGACAGCATCAATAACTAGTAATCACTGTGCTGGCTGATCAACAGATCAATACGTGTCAAGTGGACCAGAACTGTGTCTTGGCTGGTTGAGAAAACACCAAAAGCTGAAAACCGGAGCAGCTGGAGAACAAACAGAGCCATCTGAGACCAAAGAAGATTCGGTTTTTATTTCTGACAGTACAACCGAACGTTGGGACCTGATAAATCCATGTGGACTGAGTTGTGCTTGTTGTCGTCTGATGTTTAATTAGAGAAGTTCTGACATCTTCTGAGGCCTCGGGCTCATTAAAACAGCTCCTTCAGGTAATCGGCTCTGGGTAGGCATTAAGAAAAAAGCAGCTTTCTACTGTTGGGCTAAAGGGCTGAGCTAGCTTTTTCATCTTCACCATTACTGCTGGCAACTAAACGTAAGAATCACGATACTTGATGGAAAATTCAGTCACTGATTATTTTAAGTGTAAAGGTACACGTATTTGTACTGAACTGTTTTGGTACAGGACTTTAGATCCGGTGCAGCCGTGTACACAACGCAATCTTTAATAGTAGTTAACAGTGGCTTGTTTTGTGTGTGGAGCATTTCTTCAAATCTGTGTTCCCACATGACCATATTAAGTGGCGGACTGGAGTACAGTTACGTATGGGCGATGAAAACGCTGCATCCTCCATCATTTAAACAGCCTTTACCAGAGCACTTAGCAGCAGCAGTATTCTATTAAACCGTTGTTCATAAAAGCTAATAATAAATAACAAGCATTCTTACGACCTGTATTTTCCCTTACTATACCGAAAATGAACCGAACCATGACTTAAAAACCGAGGTACGTACCAAACCGTGATTTTTGTGTACTGTTACACCCCTATGGACTATAGGCATTTAGGCTTGTTGTGGAAACCAGTCTATTGAGAGTAGTATTCCAAGACTGAAGTTGCATTGTTGGGACTTGTGTCATGTGTTCCCGAGAAGTCAATCTCTAGCTTCTGATCTCGCACTGTCGGGGCACCAATCTCACAAAATCGGCCCTTCAGTCTTCATTGATCTTGCTACTGTATGTGAGGACTCTGGTCTCGCTATTCCCTTGGAACTTGGATCTGGCATTTGTTGAGAGTCTGACCCTGAAATGCTGGGAGTTTTATCGGAACAACACATTTGCTTGCATCTCTGCCTCAGGCCACTACATTTTAACATACCTGTACACTGCTCCAGATCCTCACATCCCCAAAAATGTTGGAGCAATTCATAGAGCCATTATTCTAATAAATCAGCCACATATTTAAACATGCACCTAAGCTGTTCATTTCTTGCATAAAGAAATCTTAAGACTTAATTTTGATTTTGCTGCTTGTTGATGCCAAGACACTTGTCAGGCCCAAGCCAACAGAAGTTAGCTTTGTAACATCCACAAAAGCTGAATTAGTGAGTCATTACTGGGTTAATCAATTAATAGAAAATTAATCAGCAATTTTAAGGCTGGATCTGAATATTCAGATATTCATTTCTAGGGTAGGTAATTGGTTTTCAACTGGCACAGCAGTGCCAGTGACACCTACAAAGCTCTGTGTGGAAATCATTCAGGTAGCAGCTTCTGCTGATCGTGCTTCTGGTTAAAATTATAACCGGCGGGGTTGTACCAGCCAAATATCCAGAATATTACTTAATATCTGGAGCCCAAAAGTTGGCATTCGGGACAGCCCCAAACAATTCTGAGTCTTTTTGTTTTGTTTTGTTTTACAGAGAACTATCGCTTGCTTCCTGTGGTGTCAAATGACAGTAAACTGAATATGTTGGTGTTAGAACTGGTTTAAATGGGTAATTTGAAGCTTGTGAACTGAGTGAAATTAACTTAGGTGCAGCCTTAGCATCCTTGGTTATTAAATTGAGAGAGCAAGAACATTTGGGGCAAGTTTGGACTGTCCTTGGCTAAATATTTAGTGTGTGATGATGTTACACGTGAAAGACTAAAAAAATGCCTAAAGTGCCTCTCGACCCTAAGGTTGAAGCCAGGCTGTTTGGTCCAACAGTAAAAAGCTGATGAGTGTGTGCTTGCAGAATTAATCTCCCACATACACTACTGACAGTTTGACCACTTCTAAACAAAGCAACTCCAGCGCAGAACAACACACACACAGGTAATGTTCCTTCTGTCGGTTTGCTCTGCACTCTGATTGGCTGCTGAGGGGACCAGGACGTGTCAGAAGGTAGTGTGAACCATAACGAGGACAAATCTGACTGAGAAGTTGCAAATAAAACAAACAATTTTTTTTACCAATTTTGCTTTGTTTCAGCTTTAGTGTGTAAAAGTGGAACAGTTTTCTTAAGTTGACAGTATTTCAGCATTTTCAAATATAAAAATGATAACCTGATATTACAGTTTTATTCTCTCCTACATCACATGCACACAATACTACATACATTATCAATTTGATTTTATGTCACTAGTGGCAGTCACAGGCTTCCAAACTCATTTCCATCTAATAGCAATTAAGAACAGGACAAGGACAGTTTATGTAAACCTCTGATATTGTGAGGCTGAATACAAGTTTGGGCAGGAGAAATGTGTTTTGTTGGAACTATCACATTATTTTTGTTTTCTTCTAATCATGACACAACGTGTTTGGATGTCACACCTGGTGTTATGAATGATGAAAATGTGTCAAGTGGAAAAAACCTAAAACTAGAAATTGCTCAGTTTTATTCTACATGATGTGAAGCTTGCATCTGATCACGTGACACTCCTGGTCCAATCAGCAGACACCTCAGAGCACAAAACACTGATCTCGGACTAAATATCCAGAGTAGAATTAAGTAAAAAAAAAAATAAAATAAAATCACTAAAAATAATATAAAACGTAAGAAATAAAAATCTTATTACAGAAATATGAACAAACATTTTTCCTCCTCCAGTTAAAGTATCACTTCCTTAAATCCAGACAGACCAGGTTATGTCACAATAAGAAGATTATTAACATTATTCTCATTATTAATATTTTACAAAACCAAAATTAACAGTGCAATAAAAGGTTTTTAATCCCTCGCTCAGCAGGAGAGAGAGAGAGAGAGAGACAGCGAGGGGTGGGCTTGGCAATGAGGAAAGAAAAGGTAACATCCAAAAAAATAAGAAATAAAGGAAGGACAGAAGGAATACAGAGGAGGACGAGCAGTTTACAACAGACGAGAGAGGAAGAGGGGCCTCAGGATTATATAAATGTGAAACAATGGAGGCATGAACCATGATAATATAGAGAAAAGGGGGAATCAATGAAATTGGCAGAGGAGGAGAAAGAAGATGAAGGAAGATTTGTGGTGACTGGCTAAGAGGTGATGAGGGTGGGATTGGGGGAGAGAAGGATCATGGGAAAACCTTACGGAAAAAATACAGATCCACAACAGGCTCAGCTAATAATGCTAATTGTACATCTTTATGGCTATTAGAATACAAAACACTCAGTTTGTCCCCTTTCACAGGTTACAGTCATGATTTAAAGTCAACATGGCTGACAGCTTGACAACCTAGCGTGCCAAAAGATGTTTTGCTTAGGATCTGCACCAATTTAAAAACCGATTGTGAGGAGGCTGCTGTGTGGATCTGTAAAGATGCACTGATACCACTTTTCTGTTGCCAGCATCAAACACTGACATGATACACTGAAGACTTAAAAAGGTCCGTTTACCCAAATTACAAAAACACTATTTTCTCTCTTCCCGCTAGTGGCGCCTACCCCCATGCAGATAGGTTTGGTTTCATTTGTCTGTGAGGTGTCAGTCTCCACCCCAGGACAACAGGGGTAAATGGAATTTAGTCTGTAAATAATCAAAAATCTCCTAAACAGAGTCCTGGTTACCCTGGATAATCCACACAACTTAGGGCAGAGACACACCAAGCCCACATCAAACTGTAGCAGCGACGTAGGTCGGCTATTATATTTAGTCCCTATAAAGATGTTCATGTATTGTAATTTGATTAAACTGACCCAGTAAACTCCATCGCTCCTCAGGACAAGTCAGCAAGTCCTTTTCAGGCCACTGAACTCAGGCTGAACAGAGATCCTGGAATTTCCAGGGTTAAAATGATACACTCAACCACAACGACGAGTTAAAAGAAAAAAGCTGAGCTGATTTGGCAGAATTGTGACTGTTTTCTCAGTGCACAGATGAGGATGAACATTTATGCTGAGAAACCCCAGGAAAGGAGTAACAGGTCAGTAATAATATTAAAATCCGTGGGAAATACCTGCACTGATAGAGGCTGGACATGAGGAAACAAAAGATCAAGAGGTTTGACTTTGGTTTCTGACATGTTCTGCCTGCTACCGAGGACCAAAGTTTGATACTTCCTTCCTGGATAAAACTAAAGCCCAGAGGTATCAGTGCACCTAGAGGCAGAGGGGTGAGGGTAACTGGGGGTCAGGAGGTATCAATGTAAGGATGGGGTAGATGGTGGCGGGACTGCTGGGGGCTTGATCAAAGAGAGAAGGCGTGTTGGGGTGGCTGGGCATGGCCTGTTCTGCTGAGGTTGTGTCTGTTCTCAGGAACTCCTCTTAGTCCTGGAGTGTTGGATCAACCACTGGAGAGTGATGTCTGCAGAGAGAGGCGTGGCATCAGAGAGTGTGTGTCCAACAGCATCAAAGAAAAAACATAGCGTGTGTGTGTGTGTGTGTGTGTGTGTGTGTGTTTTAATTTTGGAAAGTTTTCATCAGGTTGAAAGCTCTGGAAGAAGTCTGAGTGGACCTCCAGTTGGGCAAAGCTGTGATTATACTTTTTATACAATTCACAAACATGAGGCTGGAGAACATTGGAATTAGCAGATACTAGACAATTTGAGTAGTTAGTGGAAATCAGAAATGCAAGGTTTTTGTCAATACAGAGTACACAAAGTCTGGACTACTGTTCTTGGGAGATCCAACATAGCAAGTTCAAACTTTGAGTTTAAGCTCCTGAGAATGGGAGGACGCAGTACGTTCAGTGTGTGACTGGAACACCAACATCCTCACTGACATCACGAGCTCTACTCTAGCGTCTACACAGTCACCATTATCAGCTGTCACAGCTCTCTTGTACAACGGTCAAGTTAAATGCCCAATTAAGTGTGACATATTCGGTATAAACCTTAATGGTCAGCCCAGACCCATTTGCCAGGAATGATATCTTAAACCTATGAATTAAATAACCACAGGGCTTGCCAAGAGAAGATGACTCTGTCCAACGTGACGACAGGATGCTGACCTTCCAGTCATCATGGTAGCTGCCCGATACTTAGACCTAGCTCGGTCTGTAGCATGACCTGAACAGACTGACCACATATTCTCAATCTAAATGGTTACTTTCCCACCTGAAAGAAAAACTCATGGCATAAGCTTACTGGTCCTTTTTGGGCCTAGCTCAAAATCTCTGCCATCACCACTAGTTGGCACCAGTGCATTCTGGGATACTTGGCCAAGTCAGCTCCCAAAGCATCCTCGATAAAGCAGGCAGAGGAAGAACACCTCCTGTTATTTGATCTGTACGTCGCTGGATGCAGACTTTAGACTGGAACAGTATCAAAGGTTTGGACAAACCTTCCCATTGAACTGAGCAGGAAAGTGTGTCCAAACTTCTCACTGCAGTTTTCCTGCTAAAGAAATAAAACAATATATAAATGCACCCATATCTGGGTGAGTGGACAGTTTCTTTTAAATTACAGAACAGCATTGTTACCAAAGCCCTGCTAATGTGTTGACAAATACGTGCTTTCCCAGACCTGCTTCACAACAGAACCTCCTGATCAGGAAATGTTGGGGCTGTGTCAGTGATAATGAAACTTGGTTCTGAAACAGCTGAAAGCAGGAATCAGTAAAATGCTGATATCTGGAAGTAAAAACAGGAACGCAGAAGTGAAACTAAACAATAAACCACAATGATTCGGTGTTGGTGCTGACTGTGACCTCCGCACTCCCCACGCTACTCTGCGATTGGTTAAACCCCGCACTGGAAAGTTAATGAAGCACGGATTTCACCCTCTCCCCCCACTTCAGGAGGGAGCAACAGAAACACACAGTTAACCTTACAAACCCATCTAATGAAACCGTGTGCTTTCATGGATTTTACTGGTCAAGGCGGTGCTTTGCTGGATGATGCTGCATTGCACTAAAGTTTTAGCTTGTTTACTGGAACACCTGGTGTGTTTTTCCAGAGGCCTGTACTTTGTTACCTCCAGTGGTCTGACTGAAGTAAATGATGGGGACTGTCTTTTTTCCACACAAGGTCACATTCACACCTGAGTTCACCCAGTGGGAAAAACACAGCCCTTCTCATTCATTTGAATCGGGGAAGTGTGTTTAAGTGACAAGGCCTGGCACCGCAATCGGTCCTGCTGGTGTCACGTGTTAAGTTGCTGTGGTTCAACTTCTTCTCTACACAACATGACATCATCCAGCAAAGTGCTGGCCAATCACGTGCATGCTCCTGCACACATGAAAGCTGTGTTTCTGCTGTTTACCTTGAGACTGACACAAATGAAGATGAAACACTTTTGCAATCCTGTCAGTAAGAATTAGAAACCAGGATGTTTTGGAGTCTAACAATGTTTAAACATATATGCTCCTCCAAGTGGACTCCTGGGTCACCGTCTCACTGGTACATGAAACAACACAACCACCAACACTGCCCGTTGTGTTGCTACAAGGCCCATCTGAACACAGCCTTAGGTTTGGGGTACAGGGAAAGTAAAGTTGAAAATATCAAAGATGGCCCTCAGAAGCAGAGAAGTACAAACGTGTATGTGACATACCGATGTTGTCTTTCTCCTTGCAGGAGATGGAGTAGCAGCAGATCTCTCTGTCCTGGATGGCCGACAGGTTCCTGATTTAAACACACAAAAATAAAACTAATTAATGCAAAAGTGCAGCAATAAGAACTTTTAATATGAATTCTTCATTTCAGTATCCATGTTGTGCTGCTGCAAATTTTTATGAATGCACCGATACCAATACCAGCATGCCGATACGCATACTAGTACTGGGTCTGATACCGCCCTCTAGTAGTGATGGCCATCTGACACCGAGGCCTCGATACATGATTCGAGCTGGGAGAGGGATCTCCCATGAACCACTGGCTCGAGGCTTGTATCGATGCCAAAAAAAAAAAACACGTGACTGATGACGTCCGACGCAGAAACAGCTGGCCTGAGTGACTCCCGTAACTGGTTCAGACCGTCAATACGGTGTCACTGCGCATGTCAGCAGGTGCGTAGGCATAGGGGTACTATAAAGCCACCCAAGATGATGTACAACATGTGGGTTTGTTGGCGTAGTAGCTGTCGGTATGATCATTGCTGCTGGTGTGTGATCACCATGGAGCCAGCTAGGAATAAAAATGATTGATTCTCCATTGTATTTATTCACCCCCCCCGTCCTAGTTACATTCGCACATATTACATCCTAGCACATCCTCTGTTTCCCCAAGCACGCCTTCTCCCACCTACTACACTACATACGTTCATAGACTGGACTGACTGACCAATCAATCTTTACAAATGTTTTCACATCATTCACACAAAGCCTAGTTACACCCATCACATAATTCAGACATTGTTCTGCTGCATACTATTTCGCCACCAGATGGCACTAAACCGAACCTTTGAATGAAAGAACCAATACTCGATACAAATGATGAAGTGGAACTGCACGTAAAGCAGCAGAGAAGAAATTTCAGTGTTTCGTGGATATTTTAAGATAAATGACGGTGACAAAAATAAAGCCAACTGTGAGCTCTGCTTCTCTGCTCTATGTCTGTATGATGGGGGGCGGGCCGCCCACGGACACACAAACAGCATGTGTGTGTAAGCGCAGGCACATAGCGGACAAGATGACAAGGTACAGTTGTTAGTATTTTACTGTGACAACAACGCTCAATGTGCGCAACAAACTCCAGCAGCAGTGGAGACAGAGGTCAAACACCTGTTGAACAAGCTCAACACAACAACAAACTGCCTGGTCCCGTTCATCCACTAAACCCACTACGGTGCTTGATCTGCTGTAGCAAATTGATGGCAGAGTCTGATGAGCTGTGTGCATGAAACTGAGCTGACATCTTGTGAACATGGAGGCTGCGACCAGCAGCTCCTCTAGTGCACGTGTGTGCCCAGCAGAGAGGACATGGTGAAGCCACAGACAGTCACCAGTTTGAAATAAGAACATGCACCCTCATTAAATTAAACATTTAAGATGCCGTCTGTGATGTTATGCGCTCCCAAACTTGCTGCTCTGGGCAGGACTTGTGAAACCTCTCCATCCTAACCGAGGGCTGCGCTCCTATAAAGGCTATACGTCACTGTATTACAGTATGTTAAGTAGCAGGCTACAGACCTTCAGTCAGTTACATGTTATATTCAATAAAAATGGTGGCAGCGCTTTAGCTGATCAAGAAAAAGAAATACTACATATATCAGCAGTGAGGACTTTCACTCCGAGCACGGCTATAGAGCATGGACACTGACAACGTGTACAAACTCGACAAATGCTAAACCTGTAAGAACTCAGAACCAGTGTGTTGGTGTGGCCTTACATCCTCTCTATGAGCTCCTTCTCATCCAGCGCTCCGGGTAGGTCCCTCTTATTGCCCAGAACCAAAACCTGGGGACACACAGACAGAAGTCAACTATCACACTCTCAGTGGTCTTCCTACTGATATTCCTTCAAACTCCACAGTCAGCTGTTAAACGTCTGCTGCAGGCTGGAGCTGCACATTTCATATATGTCCAGTGACAAAGTAAAAGAAAGTGCTTTGTTGTGTCTCGCTCAATATATCAGGTCCAGTGTCAGTGTAGGTCAATGATGCTCAGGTTTGTCTGAATTTGACTAGTCGTTTCATCCTGGGTTCACTCTGGTCCAGCTGGGTTGTTAGTCCAGTTGGCTCTGACTGGGTCAAGTCCACACTGCTCAGTAAAATGCAGCCGATTTATTCTGGTTCATTGAGGTTTTGGGATTTCAGTTGGGTTCTGTCTCAGGTTTGTTTGGCCAGTTCAGTACTTTGTGGTCAGATTTGTTCAGTCTGTTCTAGACAGACTGCGCCAGGTACAGTCAGGTTGGTCTGGGTCCACTGGGAGCACTCGGTTCTGCTTAGGTCTAGGGGTTTCTTACTGGTATTCCCTGCAGCTGAGGCTTGTCCAGCAGGTTGTGGAGCTCGTTCTTGGAGGCTTCTATCTTCTCTGGGTCTGCTGCGTCTACCATGTAACTAAAACAGGGCAAAACAAGATAACATCTGTGCATTCATTCACAACTTTATTCCAAAAACATCATCAGCTGTCTTTCTATCATCTGGGCTAAAGGACTGACTGACTGGTATTTTCACAGCAATTTTAGAAAATGTTCCTGGTTTCTTTCTCAATGCATTTTAAATGTGCAGTTCAAGTATTACATTGTGTCCTACTAAAACTTGACAAGAGATTAGAGAAAAGCTGGCAACACCAATCAGAATCACTTTTACTATAGCCCAACTGTGCATGCAAACCAATGTTGGTGCTCTCTGTTCCACAAATCTGACCCATTTGTCTGCAGCGTTCCTCACCCATCTCACCAAGACAACTGCATTAATGAGACAACTACATAGTACAAGGCTGCATTTCTAATGAACAAGCCAAGGACCTTTGTGAGACCTACATTCTAATATGACTACACTTTTGTCTGCAGCAGCTTTCATATATCTGATTTACTGCTGAGTATGTACTTTCTGCTGTTTGGAGTATCAGTTGACTGCATCACATTCTTCGCTCTGTGCTGTCTCATCATTGTCGCTCTGGGCTCCTGTCATGTTTGGAGTCAGTAGAGACATCCAGCGCCCTGTTTAAGTAATGCTAACCACAGTTTAGGAAAACAGGACTTACACGATAGCACTGACTCCTCGACAGTAACGCTCCCACATGCTCCTGAACCGAGGCTGACCTCCGATGTCCCACAGCTGCAGACATAGGAAGAGCACATAGTGTATTCCTATGAATAAGTCATGTGTACAGTCTAAAAACTCTGTGTAATACATAACTGAGAATGAAGTGTTTCTCTTGTCTTGATTTTAATCTTTTACTTCCATCCATCCATCCATCCATCTTCCTCCGCTTATCCGGAACCGAGTCGCGGGGGCAGCAGTCTAAGCAGAGATGCCCAGACTTCCCTCTCTCCAGACACTTCCTCCAGCTCCTCCGGGGGAATCCCGAGGCGTTCCCAGGCCAGCCGAGAGACATAGTCCCTCCAGCGTGTCCTGGGTCTTCCTCGGGGCCTCCTCCCGGTGGGACATGCCTGGAACACCTCCCTAGGAAGGCGTCCAGGAGGCATCCAAAACAGATGCCTGAGCCACCTCAGCTGGCTCCTCTCCATGTGGAGGAGCAGCGGTTCTACTCTGAGCTCCTCCCGGGTGACCGAGCTCCTCACCCCATCTCTAAGGGAGCGCCCTGCCACCCCATGTTTTACTTCCATGAATATTTATATACTTTATAAATAATTTGATATATACCCAAACTGGAATAAATGGAAGCCAGAGTTATTCTAGTACTCACACCTTTGCTGAATCAAATGAGGTGCAGACAGTTTTGGTCACACTATGATAAGGATGTAATGTCAAATCCTTACAGTCATTTTCTTAACTGGGAATGAACAATGTTGTAAAAAACTTCAATTAAGTTAATTGATTACATTGTTACTACACATTTCAGGCATGTATTGGACATCTGTATCAAATATTATGTTTTTTTTCACAGATTAATATGTGATAATTGGATGATACTTGGGTATGTGTAGCTAAGGTATGAGAAAATACTGACAACACATATTAGTCCACAAACACATAAACTGTACATACAGTTTGAATGTGTACACAGGCAGCAGAGCGGAAGTACAAGCAGGGATTTCAACTACCAACCTTGATGGTGACATTGCCTTTAGTGATCTTCCTCATGTTGAATCCAACTGTGGGAATCATGTCTTCACTGAACTGCCCAGACTAAAACACACACAAACACACACTTTCTTACACAAACCAAATCTCTGCACACTTTGTTATGGGCTGATTTTAGCCTATGACAGACATACATTGGCTTTAGAAACTATTCAAACACCTTCATGTTTTGCACACTTTATTATAGTGTAGACTTAATTTTACATGGATAAAACTGCTATGTTCACCCCCCAGTCTACACTCAATGATCCATAAACACTGAGAGACAATATATCTTTTTTTTTTTTTTTTTTTTTTTCAAAAAATGAGATCAGCCTCAAAATTTCTGCATCAGTGAGGTTCTAGTCTGCATTTTAGATCCTGACAGTAAGAACCAAGAACGAAGAAGACGTAAATCTTCTTAAGTACCGTTAAAAGTACATCTGTGTTAGTGGGTTGCTCAAAGATGTGCGTTACTTTGTACATGGGAAACAGAGAAGGCTGATGTCAGAAGAAACACTGAGCTTTTACTGTATGACAGGGAGTGATCGAAGAGGGAGGGTCACTCTGATAGGAGGGGGTGATCGACCCTCTGACACTAGACCTACAAACCCTGCCTCCGGGCCTGCAACAGCACTAGGGATCGGAGCTAGGGAACCCACAAGGTCCGCAATTCTCAAAAGAATATGTAAACTTATGGTGAAGGTTGAACAGATCAACGGGCACAGATGTGAACAGCTGTGTTCATTTAAATGACACGATGGACCAGGTACAGAGATTTAACTAGCCTAGATGTTCATGGTAGCTAGCGCTAGCAGCATCTGTTCTCCAAAAAGCAAACACTCGCGCTATATCTAGCTAGCAGACCGTTAAGTTACTGATGTATTAAAATCCCGTCTTACTGAAGTCGAACACCGACAGCTAGGTAACCTCACCATCGCGGGATAACAATAGACGGAGCCAGATGCTAACTGATAGCTGGCGTTAACACATCTGTTAACAGCTTACCGCTATCACATTGACGAAGGTGGTTTTTCCGGAGTACTGCAGCCCCACCAAGGTCAGCTCCATCTCTTCCTTCCAGAAAAGCGCCTTGAACCAGTCCAGCAGTTTGTTGATTAGTGCTATCATCTTTGTCGTCTGATGCTAATGCTAGCTGCGGGCGGTGCTGCTGCTAAGGCTAAGTGGCTATGCTAGCTAGCTGGCTGGCTGACTAACGCCCTGACAGTATTTTTTCTGGACGTTGACAGTCACTGTGACAAGCACAGGCGGCACCAGGAAAACGGACGACACCGACTGGCTTTATATAAACCGCAGAAGAGATTTATTAAGCCGGTGTTTTCGGGCTGTAATGTCCGCTGTATGTTTTCGGCTTTCTGTGATGTTTACTAGCTACGCCTTTTAACCAAAAGCACCGTCAAGCGGATATAATAACTCACGCCCCATCCGGTACTGCTCTTCAAAATAAATCTTGAATCGAAAACCGTTCCATAAAACATGTAGTCAATAAAGGTTTCACATAGATATAAGCATAATGTATAAGAAGTAATCTAATTCTAATTAAATGGATTTTAGTGACATGTCTCCTTTACATTACTCAAGTTGCTAGATGTTGTATAATCCGTAACCAGCTGTCAGCTTTACTTCCTGTTTGGGTGGGGTTGATTTATCAAGCAGATGAGAGCAGAGAGAGGAGGCACATAGCTCTGCGTAATTTAATTACTGCCCTCTGTTGTATATACAGGGTACTTCCGAATACAAACAATCAGTGGTGGGAAAAGTACTCAGGTGTAAAAGCAGTGATATCACAATTGTGAATTAAAAGTAAAACTCTTGTATGCAAAATTTTACTCTAGTAAAAGTATTAGTATCGACATATACTTAAAGCACCAAAAGTATTTATTTTCTCTGGACAAGCAGAACACAGACTGGCAGAAATGTGAGGTCTTCACCGCTTTGCCCGCGGTAGGCTAACTGAAATCCCCATTTTACCCCTACACCAAAAAGCGAAGATCTGTCATGTCTATAGTTTTTCTTGAATAATTTTCAAACTAATAATGACATCAGCTTCATGCCAAATGTCAGCAGTTGGTTTTCATGGCCAACCAGTCATATTATGAGGGTCAGACTATCATAGGAATATTGCTTTTATGGTATTACAGGGAAACTTAGTTGCCCCTTGGTGGAGGTCTGCACTGTCTGAGTACTGTCTCTTTATATTATTGGATCATGTTATATTATAGTCATATTATTGGTCACGAGGTGGGTCCCTTTGTCACCGTGGGCCCGGGTCGGCCGCACCCTCTGCCCCTACCTCTTGCTCTGCTACAGCCTTATGCTCATCTTTTAAAGTGAAACTCCATTCAAGCTTCTGTGTCTTGAATATCAAACAGTCTGTAGACTTTAAAGGGTTGTGTCACTGTGGGAAATGAAACATACTGGGTCTGAGAGATCAAGTACCGGTTTGGTAAAATTACCTGGCCTGCATCTGGAACAGAATGTGGAGTTCTGGTTTCACTTTGGCTCTGTACTGAAACTCTCTTTTAAGTAATATATTCCTTTAAACATCTGTGTGAAAAAACACCTAGACCACATTACAGGATGATCCTTTTATTTGATTTTGTTTCATCTGATATTAACATTAGGAGGGACATTTTCCATGTGTTGGTCTACTTGGTTCTCTTGGTTCCAGCTTCTTGGTCCAGGTCTGTTCTCTGAGATTTTCAGTCCCTGATGAACATGGTGCTCTTGTTCTCTGCTGCACCACATGTTCGGGTTCTCCAGATATTTGGCCTGGCACTGAGCTGGACCAGAATACCTAGTCATTCTGAAGTTCCTTTGCGCTCCTGGCACACTTTGGTTACTGCTGGTTCCTCAAGCCGCATCAGCTCTTTGGATTTTAGTGCTGGTGTTATTTACAGTCTTAAAGTCCATGTTTGCATGGTTCTGGTTCTGTGTGTTTCCAGTCCTCTAGAGGTTCTCTGGCATCAGTTCTTTCCATTCTGTGCAATGTCCAGCTGGAGGTTCTGCAGCTCTATGCCGACTTGGTCCTCTGAGTTCTGTTGGTTCTGGTTCTGCTCCTGTTCAAGAGAGAAAAGAGGTTACTCATCAGACTGGTTTACATTTGCCAGTTACCATTGACATTTTCAGTTTGTACAGTTTACAAAACCTGTGTGGAAATGGCAGAAAAAATCTGGAAATATTGCAAAATGTTTGTACATATGGTTGAAGCAGAAACACTTTTGTATCAGTTAAACCAAAATGCAACAAACAGCGATGAAAACACATTTAGTACATTAATCAAGACACATAAAGATCATGTGAGTTAAATGGCACTAAAGAGACAAAACAGCAGCAGATGAAACTGTCTGTGTGGGTCAATAAGGAGATGTTATATTTCAAATGTTGGGGTTTGACTAGTGATCTGAATTTGACTCATTTTAATGGCACCAACTGGAAATCTAGCTGCACCAGCTGTTAATCTTGATGAACCAACTCCTTTTTCTCAGGTAACATTTGTGCTGCATTTGAATGGAAACCCACTTAGTTTAATGACTGTGATGCCTAATTGTCCACTGCTGTTACTCAGAGGACTCTAAAACACATCAAATCCTCAAATGTATTCCACAAATGTTTGTCATTGCCTTCTGCATTAACCCATCAGATTGTTTTCTGATCTGCCAACTCTGTAGTTAAGGTTTGGGTTAAGATTAGGCAAGAGAAACTATTTGGTTAAAGTGACAGTAATAATAGTACTACTACTAATAATAATAATAATAAACATGGCTGGTGGCAGGTGCAAGGACCAAGAGCAGAAACTTTTATAATAGATGTGAAGATCAGTGAGCTTGGAGCTGAGAGCCACAGACAGAGCAGGGAAGTCAGAAAGTGTAGAGAGGAGGACGAACACACAGTTGGTTTGGATGTGATCCTCAGCCACATGTAGAACATCCCTGACAACAGTGCAGAGCTATGCTTCAGCTCTCTAAAAAACTCATGTCTGATGAGAGAAAACCACTCTGTAGGGTTGAGTACCTGGTTCTGTTGTAACTGGGAGCTGTACTGGGCCAGTGTGGAGTACAGGAACTGGTACTGCTCTGTGGTCTGGATCATACCACCCCTAAACAGGACGGGAGGAGACTACAGGTTACATGGGCTACATTTAGGGAATAAACAAATGATTACACCACAGGGGAATAAGGTGAGAGGAAGTGAAAGAAGACAACTTCAAAGAGACACAAAGGGGCATAAAGAGATGCAAAACAACCACAAAGAGTTAGAACAGAGGTAAATCAACCACACAGAGCTGCGTAGGTGATGTCGTTTTCTTGTTTTATCTATTTGTGTTTAGACGAGGTGGGTTGTCTGAGAGGCCACCCCTCTTTTGCAGAAATGCCCTCATCACATTCACACCTGGAAGCTGCGCAGTTCAACCACAGTCTGACCTGTGGCTGTAGAGTAGCTCCACTGGAGCTGCTGGGGGTTAAGGGTCCTGCTCAAGGGCACCACAGTGGTGTTACTGAGGGCAGGGCTTTGTCACATGACCTGAGTAAATGCCTCTAAAGGTATAAATACTGAGCCAACAATGACATTAGATCATAAAAAAGAGAGAGAGAAAGGGTGATTTCTATTTTGACTCACCTGTCGAGTCGGAGCTGACACACTGTCTCCAGGATGTCGACCTGGCCTGTCTCTCTGAGCTGCTGACAGCCAATACTGCTGGCGATAAAACAACCTGTTCTCCCTATGCCTGCACTGAGAGGAGAGGAGATATTAACCGAGTACGATATCTAAATGGGAAAGGTTACTTCAGTATCCTGTGAACAACCGTGTAGGACAACATCTGGCTGATTAATTAAAAGCCAAAGGTGCAAGAATTTGTTATTGTCATCCTGTCCAGTAAAGCTTGTGACATGGACACTGGTCACTTTCAAACTAACTACAACTCTGGTTTGAATATTGTGGCGGAGTGAGGAGTACATGTAGTACTCAAAACCAGCGTGACACCTCTCTAATACGAGTGTGAAGTCTAGGGAAAGTCTGTCTGAGATGGTCATGTGACAGCTGCCATGACAGGTCAGTACTGTGTCGAGCAGCCTGCTTCACTTGAGGAGGCCACACGCTATCGCAGAGGCACACATCTGTTTGCACATATGGTTCTGTATGATGCCAATTGTCGGGCAACTGATAGCTCTCTCTCTTGGATGGATGTGAGTCTGAGCCTGTTGAGCCATCAGCACCACAGATGGACTGAAAATATTACAGGATAAAAACACAAAGCCTGTGGACAAACAAGCTTAAGGGGAGATGGCAGATGATTGACCCTGAGTCGGCATGGTTCTCTCCACTTCTCGTTTCTACTGTCTCCCTAGAAACACACCTCTCGGTGTCTCTTTGGGTGCAGCGGGTCATTTGCATTAGAAAATGAACTGCAGGTCAGACAGACACCACAGCCTGCAAACTCTTTCTTCCGGCGGCTGCAGTTGGCTGCTCAGCTGCAACCGTCAACGCTCAAACAGGAAAACACTTGCATCATATCCACCGCTCTAGTTTGAGACATCGCACACTGGTTTTGTTCAGTAACCCACACCCTAATAATGACGACAACAGACTGTGTGTTCTGCTGGAAGAGTGAACCCGAAGCTGAAATCAAGCTAAAGACCAGTGTACTGACTTGATGTTATTTCACACAGAGCTCTGGTGAGAAAATAAACCCTTCCTGTTGGTAGGACAGTCCTCGTCCTCGTCTCATTTCCACAGCTTTTGCAATCACAGTGCATATTCTGCCAAAAACAGCGGGGCGTCTCAGACCTGCTGGTTTTCACTACAAATCAACAGTGTGCGTTTTACGTTACCAGTCATTTATGTCATCGTGGTATATTTCATTTATTAAGGTCGCTCTAAGGGGAAAAACTGGAATTACCACCTCACAGTATTTTGCCTTCGCCAACCAGTCAGATTCATGGGAATGGGACAGACATGAGGTCACTGTGACCTTTGACCTCTGACCACCAAAATCTAATCTGTTCCTCTTGGAGTCCAAGTGGAGGTTTGTGCCAGATTTGAAGAAAGTCCATCAGTGTGTTCCATGTTCCAACAACGGGACGGATGAACGAACAGACAACCTACGGCCTCTGACCACAGCTGTCACCAGCACGGAAGCATAAAAACCTACAGCAAATTCATAACATTTTAAAAAATCATTTGTGGTCACAACCAGTGGTGGTCTACCACATGATGCAAGATACTGTGTCAGAGTACAGCTCAGCTCTTCTTTCTGCATCAGATGGAATTCAAATTCACTGTGAGCAAAAGCAAAATAAATTCCCTCCCTGTTGCTGGATATTTTTAACCCACATCATGATTTACAGCTTTTGACAAATGTGTAAAATTAGCTCTGTTGTAAGTGTTGTGGTCCCTCTCTGAAAAGAAGAGGAGACACTGTGGCTGTGAAAATTTAACATTTCTGCCGAGAAGGTGCTAACAAAGGCCGGAGGGTGCAGCCCAGTTCCCTTATTTGATCATTCTTTGCTCCTTAATCCTCACTCAACCCGGTCCACCATCTTGAAGGACGTCCCAAAGATCTTATTCCTGCTCTAAGGAGAGTCCAAGAGGCCATCCTTTTCAGAAGTCTTGATTGGAATTCAGTTGATGATTGGACATGGAGAACATCCATCCCTTCAACTGCACCCATGTTTCCCCCACCTCCATCTTTACCTTCTGTCTTAGTCCCACCCACATAACAGGTGAGGAAATAATGCTAGGCGAGTGGAATCAAGGAAACGAATTTTGCATTAAGAGACGTGAGACGTCCTTTCCTCTGATCTGTCATCTAAAGTGTCCAATCACCAACTGATTTCTGATAAAGGGGTGTGTCAGTGCAAAGACTTCTGCAAAGGACGGCTCCTCAGAGGAACAATCACATGATGGATTTGGGAACTTGGGATGTACCCTTGGATAAGGGAACATAGATGTATCCAGAGAAGTGTGTTTGATAAGGAACCAACCTGCAGTGGACAATGATTGGTCCAGGACCAGGGACAGTGGCTGTGATTGGCTGATCGCTGTGCTGTAGGAGGGACTTGCTGTATGTCTCCACCTCCTCCACCAGTCTCAGGAGAGGAGCAGTGCATTGTGGGATGTGGTGGTCGGGCCAAGAGGTGAACCAGTAGTGTCTGATGAGACGACACTCTGAACCCAGCTGTGTACACACACAGTCAGACCATGACAGTTCACTGTTCACCAGAAGCAGCAGTGGAAAGTAACCAAGTACATGTACTCAAGGTATCTGTACTTTACTTGAGTACTTCCACGTCCTGCTACTTCATCCTGTGACTTCACTCCATGTCAGAGACAAACCGTGTACTTTTTACTACACTACATGTACCTGATGACTTCAGGTCCAGAACCAGATGAATCAAACCAAACCCAGTAGAACCATCAGACTCTATTGATCCCAGTAGGAAATCCACCAGCTACCCAGCAGGATGGAAAGTACTTCCCAGTATAAGTATATAAGGTAGTTACCATCAGCTCCACCTTTACCAGCTGCAGCATTAAAGTGAATTGGCAGGTATTTCCTGTGAAACTGGTAATCAGTCACTGGTTTTGTGCACTACGTCTTTCATGCCAGACTGAACTGCTGTGTGCACGCTCCTTGCAGGAGGCTGCAGAGTGGAAATGTTCTGACACAGGAAAAGTGCTGCTAATGAGATAATAATCTTCAGGGTTCATTGCTGATGATGGATTGTTAGGAATGTAGGCATTCACAAGCTCACATTCACAGAATTAAACCCTGAAACATCTTTTTTGTTTTGTGTTTTAAATTCAGAGAGTGTTCCTGTGATGAGCTGTGATGGAGATTTGTCCAATATATAGTTTTATTGTCACTTTAAAAACAGACAAAAACACTTGTTTGACTTTTTGATTTGATGTTTGCCTTGTCAGAGCAGCTTCACTAGGAATTAACTACGTGACTTTCAGCATCAGACTTGAAGCTCTGTGAAAATTCTTCATTGTACTCATTGCTGGGAATGAAAGCTGCTCACAAATAGTGCAGAACAGGCGCTGATGGTACTGGTGATGACATCCCATCGACAGAAGGCGTTCATCGAGTGGAAATGAGACATTTATGACAAGTTTGTGCTGTTAAGAGAGTTTGGTGAATCTGACTTGGAACGTCGTCACAGAATAAAGCCAGAGAGGTTCAGGAGAATGTGAAAATGTTTGTGCATGAGGCCCAGTGTGTTGACTGTACCTGGATGTCCATGTCGGTGACAGTGAACCCATCTTTCTCCCGGCTGTCTTTCACTCTGAGGAGGAATCTTCCAAACTGGCCCATCTCTCCTGCCTCCTCCTCTTCCTCGCCCTCCTTCTTTACCCCCTCCATCCTCTCCCTCGGCTGTGGCCAGTACAGCTCACACTTCTGGAACAAACACACCGTCAGGTGTTGGAGTACTGCACTCTAAACATTTTCTTTGTGTGGAACCATCTTTTTGTTGCTTTTTCAGATACACAGTGATGAAAAGTGCATTTACTGAAGTGTTTAAATACAGTTTTGAGGTTCTTCTACTTCACTGCATTTCACTTTTTATTCCACTATGTTTACCTGATGTTACTATAGTCACTACTTACTTGTAAGATTATAATTTTATATTAAAAACACATGAGTTTATAACATGTGATTAAGGACTAAACCAGGAATTTGTAGCCTTTTTGTTTGGTATCTGTCTGTGGGTACTCGAGTCCCGCACCAGCAGACTTCCACTTTGACTCACATCTCATCACTGACCGACTCCAGACTCGACTCAGACTCAAGAATAATGGTTCATAAACAATCTGAGCTTTTCAGAAATGGGGAAGGTTTGGATTTTTACAACTCTCTGTAGTCCTTGAACGCATCACACGACAAGCTGGGTTGGTCATTTCATGAAGTGAGATGAAATGGAGTGAAAAGGCTTCACTGAGCCCACTGGCCATCCCAGATCAGCTGACACCGTGAAGCTTGTTAACTAGAGGCAATGTCGCCAGGATCGTGAATGACGTTTTTAATCTAATATGAAATGAAATCTGCAGGTGAAACTGGTCATAGCGACAGAAGAAGGTGAAATGGCTGAGTGGTCATCAATATGGTCACATCTGGAGCTGTAGAAACACTAGAAATGAAGTGCAGGAATTATTATGCGGGGAGTACTGAAGCTGTTCCTCTTTTGTCCGATGAACAACCTGTTGTGTAAATGTGATGTGCTGTAAAACTGTCATGGCGCTGTCAGACGTTCTGGTGGCAGAGCAGAGATGAGGAAGCACGGGCTGATAAGGGCCATGTGACTGGCACGCTCATTTGTAATCATGGGAAACATTTTCAAACAGCGTCTGGATTCCTTTTATCATAAAATACAACAAATGGTTTTTAGTTTATATTTCCAATTGCACCCATGGAGTTTCCTTGAGTTATTCTGGGCTGCAGTGATGTGACAGCATCAGCACTGTCAGGAATCTGCTCTCAAATGAAGGAGCAGCTGTAACCATGATCATGTCATTAGTCACTGTAGTAAACTGGGCTCCTCTTTGTTGGAGCTCTATTTTAAAACCCGAGTGGCCCTGGAGTTATATACAGAGTTACCGCTCCTTACTATAGGTCACTTTACTGTGAACTCCAGGAGTGATGGCTCAGCTTTACCAGCGATCTGACTGGTCAGCAGTGTCGCTCTCAGCTGCTCCTCTGAGGCAGGTTAGCTGTGCAGCATCTGTTACCACGTGAATCTGCTGAAAACCTGATTTAGAGGAGTTGTGTCTCCTCACCTCATTGTTCTCCTTCAGTCTGGTCACCATGACGATGATGCTGCTCCTCTCCTGCCACACCATGTCCCAGAAGTCGCCCACGGTGTGCGGCATCGGCCCCTGGGTGGCGATGTAGGCCCTGGGAGCGCCTCTGTAGCCCTGCAGCACAGACACAGGGTGAGAGAGGTGACTCACAGCTTCATCAGTCAGACTTTATCTGCAGTGGACCTTACACACAGGTACGTGCAGCTCAAAGCGCTGTGCAGGTGACTGACAAACAACAGGACAGTACAACCGTTTTCTACATCATCCTGCCAGTGGCGTCACGCTGTCTCATGTGCACATTTCCTCACAAATGAAGAAGCTGCTCAGATGGTGAACCACCTTCAGCAACAATCTAAATGAAGAAACCCACAGCTGCATCATGTCTCTTCCACTTCTGAAACCTCAGCAAACAGGAAGTGAAAGATAAAGACTGGTCAGTATTTACGTGGATTTTGTAAACATATAAATACCTGGATACATATCTGTGGCTTCTTATTGGACTCATCTAAATGTAAACATTGTTAGACGTCAGGAGGAGCAGCGGGTGTCTGCTTTACAGATGTCAGCAGAATAACAACACACACAGTCGCTCAGAGCGAGGCTGCAGAGTGTGAAGGATGCGTGGGCTGGTGGGGGAGGATGGGGGTGAGTCAGGGACATGTCACTTCCTCCCTTGCTTCCTGTGGTTTTCCTGGTTGTCAGACACCCACGCTGAAAACTGACGGCTCATATCTGAGTTTCTGTTTGTTTAGCTGTCCCACACACACAAACAAACGAGAAGACGCCCACGCTGAGTGACAGCGCTGTCGCACACTCTATCAGCTTGTTTTCTTTTTTAGTAAAGCACTGGAGCCACCATAGTTTCCTCACTGTGACTAAACTCACGAGGGACTCGATAATAAAGTAACGCAGCTCAGACTAAACCAGGAGATGACAGATCCTAGTGAACCTTGTTCTGCAGTGCAGTTTTAGTAGAAATACTCAACAAGGAGGGAATGTCAGAATGAGAGCACAGAGGTCCGGCACTGGAGCTGCTGCACAAAAATGATGTGCAATGGATAAAAATATATATTATTTATAATAATTCACAGAAATGAACACAAACACAACAAAAGTAGAGCAGAAATCAAATTAAAGGCACACATTTTTAAACTGGCATAACTGTATCAAGTCTAATTAACCAATTTTAGTCTCGCCTACAAGACAACGTCTCAGCCACAGTTAGCCATCAGTCCAGAGCTTAGACTGACAACAAAGAGGAAACTCTGGACATGTGGACACCCAAATGAGATTTTTATTTCCAATGTAAAGACAAATTTAAATGAAACCATTTTAAATGAGACCAAGTCTCATATGGATTAACATGCTTCTGCATCGGAAATCAGTTTGTGATTGGATGTTTTAGATGAACGATGCACTCATATATCCTCGCTCATGTCTCCTCCAGGCAGCCTCCTCATTCCTTGCTCCTCAGAGCAGGAATAAGAGCTTTGGGTATTGGGATTGTCACAGTATTTCCTTATTATGCACCCTGGTATAAATGTCAGCTGGAAATGCTGCCTTCAGCAATCCATATTCATCTTTCTCATGTCTCTCAGCTCAAATTCTGTTGTGTCAGGTAACAAATGAAAGGAAAACCCTGAATAGCTGTGTGGTCTCCTCCAGGATGACAGAGGCCCCTGTCCTCAGGATACCAGGGGTCACTGACTGGTCTGATGAGGATGACCATGATGAGAAACATATGCTGTCACCAGGTCTCAGCCCAGTTTAACAGCTATGGGAGATGCTGGAGTGACGTTTTAGACAGCGTATCCACCACCATCATCAAAACATCACATGAGGGAACATCTGGTGGAAGAACAGTGGTCATCCCTCCAGGAGGGTTCAGAGACCTGGAGAGTCAAGGTGGAGCTGTTCTGGTGGCACGTGGTGGCCCAGCACCTCACTGGGACTCTGTGTTGGGTTTTACTTTAACAAGTCAGCATGTGATTAAATATTTGCAACATGTCTACTATTAAAGTTTACTATTATGACTTACTATTAAAGTTCATTTCTACTATTAAAATACTATTAAAGTTTTTTAAGTTTTACATTTTGCATTTTCGCCCGATGCCGGCTGGGATTGGCTCCAGAACCCCCCCCTCCCCGGACTAAGGAGTATAGAAAATGAGATGAGAGATGAGATTTTGCATTTTCAGGTATGAAAATGATGATAAAGCCACTTAATGCAAATTTGTGATTTGTAATATTGGGCTATAAATCAGATCTGACTTGACACATGGGTGGCATATTCAGGTGTCCTCAAACCTTTGGCAAGTATTACTATTTAAAATGTTATAATAACCTGATGGGAATAATTATTAACCATAACTTCAAGTATAAAATCCCTGTTTTGTTCAGATCATCTTGCATTTTTATTACCACAAATCCTCCAGTACAAAACTTCCACTGAAAATCTACTGTTTTAACACTAAGTGGAGAAAAATCTCATGCTGGTCAACAAACAGACACCACATAAACAGGAACAATTAACCCCTTAACCTGCTGTGAACTTAGTGTGAAACAATGTTTGACTCTGACCTTGATGTAGTTGGCGTTGATATAACGGTCTGACCCTGTGTCTTCCTCTGGGCTCCTCAGGATCACCCGGCTCTCGGGGTCTAAACAAGAAATCAAAACACCACAATGGTAACCTGAGTGTGAACAGTGTACTTGTGTAGAGGAGAGGAGGACAGGGGAGTTACTGACTTGGTAGGATGGTTTTGTATCTGTCTTTCATCATGTGTCCGGGAATGTCAAGCTCTGCAGTGCTCACAAAGTTCGGAGGTATCTTCTGTTGAAAGAACATGGACAGGCTTCTTGTTAAAACAAACACACCTCAGATGTAGAAGCCAGCCTACATCTGGAAGCTAAGAGTGTTTAGAAACAATAGCTGTGTCTCAGTTTCACAGCATAGTTGAAGTGTGCACATTATGCATTATATATCAATGTTTAGCATTTACTTTGTTGTAGACACAAGAAAACAATGTGGATTTATCTGATGTGAATGAATCATCAAGATTCAAATCGAATTAGGAGAGGCCCTGGTCTTTTGTCCAGCACTGTGTATGTAGTGTTAATGATTGTGTTACTTAAAACACTTAGATGTGATAAACTGAGCAGACACTGCGTTAACATATATGGGGCGCCGAGTGTAAAAATAACACTTACACTAGTTTTCTCACATTTAGCTAAATGTGACAGTTTTCTCACATTTATTTAGCTAAATGTGACAAAGTCTAAATGTAAATGTTAAATATAAATGTACGGTCATCCGCCCACCTCACCCTTGTGATGCCTTCTTCCCGTTATAAAAAATGGGGAGGTCGGGCCTTTGCCGTGTAATTGTGGAACGCTCTGCCATTAGATTTACGCTCTATAACTGAACTAGTCCCGTTTAAATCGGCACTGAAAACATATTTTTTTAAACAAGCTTTTTATTCTTAATCTCTCTAGACTCCTCTTGGCTTTCTATTTTATTGTAGCTTTATTCTAGCTTTTCTGAGGGGTGTCAGCCTGGGCAGGAATTATGCTATAGATCGATGAATGTATATGCCTGTCATATGTCTACTTAGTTGATTTTTATTATGATATTGATATTTTGATGATTTTGGCTGTTTGCCTTTCTGGATTTATTGAGTGTTTTGCATATTACTTTTCATTTGATTTATTGATTGTGTCCCTTCCACTGTTGAGTGTTTGGCATTCTAGTTTCCCACGGTTAAGAGGACCGCTGTATTTGTATCTTTCCATTTTGTTACTCATTCTGCTTATTTCTTCAGTGGTTGGTGAAACGAATAATGCACCCTGATGCAGT